TAGATGTGATGTTTTGTTTGTTATGGCTAAAATAGCCTATTTTGTTTTTTGTGGCTAAAATAGCCAAAAAAGCCTCCAACCCACCTTCCCAAACTGTGCCTAAAGTAATAAACGAATGAAGTTGCAGGAGACCAAATGTAATTTAACCATCCAAATAAATACAAAAGGCGCGCAGATTATGACACCAGACCTGACGAAACCAAACCAAACCGAAGGGCAAGTTGATCTATGCTTTTTTTAATTTTTTCAAATCTGTAACTTTATAAAATGAAACCATGGCCTCAACACCCTACATGCTATTTAAATTACACATATATTTTTAAGGTTTGATTAAAATATAAATTATTTTTTGTGATTTTAAAAATTATATGTTACTACTTGAGATTTTAATTTTATAATAAATCGTTCATTTTATTAATAAATTATCAACTCAATTAATAGTTTTTAATAATATTAGAAATATATTTCAATTAATAATTTAAGTAATTTTATTATTGTATAAGAGAGCAATTATAAATTTTATTTTTTTAATTAATTCTGTTAAATAAAAAATTCTGACAAGAAAATATTTGTAATTTTTTAAATCACAACAGACAATTTATATTTTAAGTAAACTCCAAAAAATGTATTTATAATTTATCCAAGACAAAATTTACACTAAACTCAATACTATTTTTGCTTACTATTTCAATTATTTATAAAATTTACTATTTTTGTTTATATAAGAGTGTCTCATGTGCTTATTCTTTTTTTTTTAAAAAAAAAAAATCAAATTTAAATTTGATTAAAAAAAAAAGTCTAATTTTAATATTCCAATCATAATATCAAATTAATATCAATTGAGAATGCCTTAAATTTTTTTTTTTAAATTGAGAATGTCTGTAGCCAGTGGCGGAGACCGGGGGTCAGGTGCCCCATTGGCTTTTGTGATTTTTTTTTTTTTTTTTTACAAATATAAAGAAAATATTTTAAATAAAAAGAATTACAAAAATATTATTAGAGTGAAATGTCAATGACATTTTAAAAATTATGAAAATAATACTGGTTGTTTTGATTGAAAATAAAGAGATTACTATAAATCATATTATCTATGAAATTTTTAAATGTAACAGTGATATCATTGTTATTGACATGCAAGTATAAGTAATCACACTATAAATATATAAAATTTATTGGATTGTTAGTTACATTTGACATGTGAAGTTCGCTCTCTATGTGGTTATTTACTGTTAGTTGGTGATATCGCATACTAATAATAACGTGATATTACCATTATATTGATATTTTAATCAAATTTTGTATAAAAAGTAATTTATCATTATATAATTTATTTTAAAATTTATATCCATATTTTTTTATATTGTCCACGATACACTAGTTAGAAATAATATTATTTTTTGAGTAAATTACACTGACATCTCCTGAAGTTTATGTTTATTACAGTTCACCTCTTCACTTTTTGAAAATTACATCTCCCCCTTGAGGTTTAAAGTTTCATTACAAATTCCCCCCTCAACAATTTAATATTTTTAAATACCAATTTTGTCCTCATCGGGAAAATTACATTGACACCCCTCACATTTTAAAAATTACAATATCCTCCTCCCTAAGGTTTAAAGTAGCATTATTAATTGTCTCCTCGGTTAGTATTAGTTGGAAAAAAATTTCATTGAAAAAAAAAATTAATTGGAAAAAATTAATTGAAAAGAAAATTTGTTAGGAAAATTTTTAAATTTTTGTTTAAAAACCAACGGAAACTCATTTTTTGAATTTACGTTTTTTCCTCAAATTTACAAACTAAAACAACCATTTACCCCAAAAATTATCAAACAAGTTTTTATAACAATTTTTAAATTTTTTGTAAATATAAATTGAAACCTAAAAACGAAATGGTTACCAAACAGGTCTTAGATGGTAAAAATGTCATAAAATTAACAAATAATTAAATAAGTTACCAACGTAAGAAACGACTTATTAAAAGATTCTTAGGTTATGTATTGTTTGATTTTTAGAAATTTTTAAAAAAAATTAAAAATCAATTTGGTTAAGAAATAAAAAAAATGAAGAATAATTATCATTTTAACTTTTGAACATGTTATATACATACGTATGGCTGTTTCAATTTAATTTGTAAAAAATTATTTCTAACCACTCGAAACATAAAAATTATATAAAAATGATAATTATTTTTTTTATTTTTTATTTCTTAACCAAATTAATTTTTAATTTTTAAATTTTTTTTCTAAAAATAAAACCATACATAGCTTAAGAATCTTTTGATAAGTCATTTCTTACGTTAGTAACTTATTTAATTATTTGTTAATTTTACGACATTTTTACCATCTGAAGTCTGTTAGGTAACCATTTTATTTTCAATTTTCAATTTATATTTACAAATTTTTTAAAAACTGTCATAAAAATTTGTTTGACAATTTTTTTTTTGTTTATAAATGGTTGTCTCAGTTTGTAAATTTGAGAAAAAAACGTAAATTCAAAAAATGAGCTTACGTTGATTTTTAAACAGAAATTTAAAAATTTTATTATCAAATTTTTTTTTTTCAATTAATTTTTTTTCCAACTAATACTAGCTGATAGGGCAATTGATAATGCTACTTTAAACCTTAGGGAGGGGATTGTAATTTTTAAAATGTGAGCCGTATCAATGTAATTTACCTAGTGAGGACAAAATTAGTATTTAAAAAAATTAAATTGCTGAGGGGAGAAATCTGTAATGAAACTTTAAATCTTAGGGAGAGAGATGTAATTTCTAAAAAGTGAGAGGGGAACAGTAATAAATATAAACCTCAGGGGGTGTCAGTGTAATTTACCCTTTTTTTTTTGATGTTTCTCGAAATCAATTGTAAAAACTTACATAAAATGTTTTTATAAAATTTTTTGATATTATAATTAATAAGTATTCTCTTTAATTTAATTTTTTTGACACCGCCATTATTTAGAGCTTTCATCAAATTTATAAGTGACCTTAGGTTAGAATTTGCCTGCACATCTTATCAGACAATTTCTTTCTCATAAAATTATTCGGTAAGTTGTGATCAATTTATACCGAATTGATCGATTGACCGAACATTTGTTTAGTTGCCTTATCAATTGACTAATGCTTTAATAAAAATTCAAAAAATTTCGTTAAAACATACTATACCAGATGAAATTTTCACTCAAATTTTTTTTATATTTAAACTTAATAAAAAGATAATCTAATACTATTAAATATATTCAGGCCCCGTTTGGAAACTTATTTTTTTAGTTAAAAAATTAAAAAGTTACTTTTTTAGCAAAAAAGTCAACAATTCATACCAACAAGTCAAAGATTATCTTTTCTCTCTACTTTTTACACATCTTTTCGTAATTAATAAAAAAATCATCCTAAACATATAAATTTTTTTTACTTATTTTTTTAACCTGTCAGACCTCAAAATGAAAGGACAATGCTGGTCTGTCGATGAACTCCACTCCCACGTGTCCCCAACACGTTCAATATCATGCAAAGCTCCATTCCTCCATGTGGCTTGGCTACTCCCTCCCCTTCCGGAGCAAGGATCCTCTAAAGTAATTTTTTCCTAAAGTTTCCTAGAGTGCTACATTGTGTGGTTGAGATTTACTGACAAGTCACATCAATTTTTCTGATGTGACTTGCCAGTAAATCTCAACCACACAATGTAGCACTCTAGGAAACTTTAGGAAAATTTCACTCTAGAGGATCCTTAGTGCCCCTTCCATCCGCCACAACACAACACACAAACAAATCTCTCTCGCTCCGTTGGCTATTAGTAGGGGCGAAACTCAGGCAGATTCAATCTGAACAATCTGAATTCAGTTTGAATTTTTTTAGGATTTAGATAAGATTTTTTAAAATTTAGTACGAATTTAGGTAAAAATTTAAAAATTTGAATTAAATTTAGACGGACTTAGAGAAAGACGTCAAACAATCCGAGCAACTGGAAATTCGAAT